CTCTTGTGTAGCTTTGCACAAAATTCAAAAACAAACAAAACAATTTCTTCCCTTTTATTCCTTGATGTCTGTAATGGGCGATTAGAAACCAGGCAACTGGTACATCTGATTTTGCTATACATGTGTATGTTGCTTGAGGAAAGGGCAAGAACAAATAGCAGTACATTAGCATTTTAATACTTTGCACAGACAGTTGAAAATATGGACAATTTCCTTTTTTAGTAGCTTTTTAGTGACATTGTCACACCATTTATAATTTTGGATTATTGTGTTTTAATATAGGAGAAGACAGTGAAATTTATTACTTCTTTGTACAGAACAAACAGAAAAAGTTTTACATTATTAGAAGAATAAGGAATATTAATGTTTGAAAACAAAGTTGCTCGGAGTCTTTTACTCTATTCTGTCAGCATCAGATATATTTTTTTGTATTTATGATCATAGTTAGATTTTAACTTTCTGTGAAAGCTGAATATCATATGGTTTGTTTGGGCTATCTGCGCTAGCCATCCCTAATTTAGCAGTGTAAGACTAGAAGGAAGGCAGCTAGTCATCACCACCCACTGTCAACTATCGGGCTACTCTTTTACCAACGAATAGTGGGATTGACCGTCACATTATAATAATCCCACGCCTGAAAGGGCGAGCATGTTTGGTGGAACGGGGATTCGAACCTGCGACCCTCAGATTGTGAGCCAAGCGCCCTAACCACCTGGCCATCCCGGCCCAATATCATATGGCCAGAAGGAGACAAAGTCTATAATTTTATGGTTTCACCAAAATATCTAATCAGTATAAACATCTATTGTAAGATTTTCCTTTTTTACTTTGGTAAGTATGCTGGTACCCCATTTGTATAGTAAGTGAATGGATGATGGCATCTGCTGTCATATTGTCTTGATAGGGTTCATAAAGATCATGAACTCCTGGAAGGTCATGGAAAAGAAAATATGTTGTAGTCATGGGATATCAGTGAAAGTCTTTTCAGCTGAAAGTTACTGTAGAATATGTGATGAACAGTAGTTCTCGCAGACTTTCAATCTGGTTTGTGTTCAAATGTCTTTTTTTTTCTCTTCCTCTTCACCGTTGAAATTGCATTTTTCACAGCATATTTTAATATGAAGCATTCACTGGTTGTCTGGAGTGGTGTTACTACAGCTGCCTATAATGGTTAGCACAAAACTCACCTACGAAGTGTTCCTGATTAGTAGCTAGACTCTGTTGAAGAGATGATCATACATACATGTAAGACTGGATTTAAACAGACTATACCTGGAAAGTGCATTTTCAATGATACTTGGCTAACTGATAAAATACATAAATAACAGGTGTCCCAAACAGATGACAGAAATACAAAGTATGTTTTGTGTGGCACAAAACTAGATTTGTCGAACATGGGGGAGGGAGCATTATATAGCCATGTCAAGAGCAGCAAGTACCAAACTCACTTGGAAAGGCAAATAAAAGAAAACAGTGTGTGAATATAATTGGGGATTTTTCTTTTAATTAAAACTTTTTTTTTTGTTTATAATCAGAGGTTTCTGTATATACATATATATAGTGAAAAGGATTGGCATAACACATTGCTTTGAGTGCAAGCTCAGCTTTTTTTCTACATATTTTTGTTTTTTATATTTGAATTTCTAAGTTTACACTGTTGGCTTACCGAAATGCATACTCAGTGGAATTAATTTAATTAATTAGTTCAAGTTTCAAAAGGTGAATTGTGTATTATTATGCACTGTAATTAGAGTAAAACATTTCTGCAGTTTCATAGAAGTGGCACACATTCTTGCCATAGTTTTCTGTGGAGTTTCTGTGCCAGATATTTAGCTAGATTTCATTATGTAAATGTGAGAATAAGTAATCATTAAAAATAACTGATATCATATTCTCTGATGAACTAGTTCTGACAAAGAATTTGAATTCTTGTATCTTACACCTTCAGGAGTAATGATGAGGATTTAAGAAAATAAAAATGATGTGAGTGAAATTAGTATTAAGCAGTGATAAAAACTTTAATAAATCAGCTCCATCCCACCATACATGTTGATTTATCATAGCCAGCATTTCATATTATTGTTTGTACAAATAGTTAGAACTACATTTTTCTCCTATTCTAAGAAAAATTTCACCATGGCATATTCAAAACAATATAGAATTTATAGATAAAATAAAATAAATCTTGACATAAGTAAATGAAAAATGGAGAGTTTTAATGTTGATGCATTATTTACCAATGTACTGGTACAAAATACTACAGAACTCCTTTAAATAAAACTACTTGTATTCAACATAGCTTTTTATGTTCCACTTTCACCCTCTTGTTAAGTTAGAGCATGT